TGACCACTGCAGCACCGCCCCCATGCTCACCCCCCCGTGTCCCCCCCCCACCCTGAGCCGCCGCAGCACCGCCCCCATGTGCCCCCCATGCTCACCCCCCCGTGTCCCCCCCCCCCACCCTGAGCCGCCGCAGCACCGCCCCCCCCTGCGCGGCCGCCACCAGCGCCAGGGGCAGCGAGGGGGAGCCCCAAAGGCGCTGCTGCTCCCCCAGGGCCGCGCAGAGCACCAGGAACTGGGGGGGACACATTGGGGACACGGGGGGACATTGAGGGGACATTCAGGGACACGGGGGGGACATTGAGGACACATTGGGGACACGGGGGGACATTGAGGACACGGGGGGACATTGAGGACACATTGGGGACACGGGGGGGGACAGGGGGACAGAGGAGGAAGAGCTCGTTAATCCCCTGGGCTCTGCTCCAAGTGCTCCCAGTCTCTCCCCTAGTTCCCTCCCAGTCCCCCCAAGTCCTCCTGCAGTCCCTCCCAGTCCCCCCATTTCCCCCCCCACCCAGTTCCCTCCCAGTTTCCCCCCAGTCCCCCCAGTTTGCCCATTCCCCCCCCCAGTCCCCCCAGTTTGCCCATTCCCCCCCCAGTCCCCCCAGTTTGCCCATTCCTCTCCCAGTCCCCCCAGTTTGCCCGTTCCCCCCCCAGTCCCCCCAGTTTGCCCATTCCTCTCCCAGTCCCCCCAGTTTGCCCATTCCCCCCCCAGTCCCCCCAGTTTCCCCATTCCCCCCCCAGTCCCCCCCAGTTTCCCCATTCCCCCCCCAGTCCCCCCCAGTTTGCCCATTCCCCCCCCAGTCCCCCCCAGTTTGCCCAGTTCCCCCCGTACCCAGGCGCAGAGCCCGACCCGCTCCCAGTTCAGATTCTCGGGGGGTTCCAGGGGGGTCCCCGCTCCTCCCCCCACGAAGAATTCATACACGGGGTGTCCTGGGGGGGGGAGGGGCACGGCCTCAGCACCCCCGGGACCCCCCCCAGGACCCCCCAAAAGCCCCCAGCCCGCCATGATCCCCCCAACTCCCCCAGACCCCAATTCTGCTCCCAATTACCCCCCAGGACCCCAATTTCCCCCCCCAAACCCCAATTTCCCCCCCAGACCCCCATTTCCCCCCCAGACCCCCAATCCCCCCCACCCCCCCGCTCACCGGTGCCGCCGCCCCGCAGCCGCCGCCGCGCGAGGATGAGGAGGGCGAGGCCGAAGGCGACGCTGGAGGCGGCCGCGGCCAGCGGGGGGAGGAGGGGGCACAGGGGGGGCAGGGGGACCCCCAGGGCCAGCGACCCTCCCAGGGCCCCCCCCAGCAGCAGCAGCCCTGGGACAGCGGCCGTGAGGGGGGCGACCCCCGGGGGGACCCTGAGACCCCCCCCCAGTGAGGGCCGCGACCCCCGACGCTCCCTTCGAGCCCGAGGGGACCCCCCGAGCCCCCCGCCCGCACCCAACCCCCCCCCAAAGGGCCTGAACGGACCCTGGACGCCCCCGAGCGCCCCCCACTCACAGCCGAGGTCCTGGAGGGGTCCTGGGGGGTCACCGGGGCTCTGGGGGGACAGCGGCGTCACCCCGAGACCCCCATGGGACCCCCCGAGACCCCCCAAACCCCCCCATGTGGCCCCCCAAGACCCCCCATCACCCCCCAAACCACCCCAATCCCCCCCATCACCCCCCAAACCGCCCCAATCCCCACCAAATCCCCCCCATATCCCCCAATCCCCCATCCCGGCTCCCCAAATCCCCCCAAACCGCCCCAATCCCCACCAAATCCCCCCCATATCCCCCAATCCCTCATCCCGGCTCCCCAAATCCCCCCATCACCCCCCAAACCGCCCCAATCCCCCATCCCGGCTCCCCAAATCCCCCCAAGTCTCCCCAAACCGCCCCAATCCCCCCCAAATCCCTCCCAGACCCCCAAATTTCCCCAGAAGCCCCCCAACCCCCCCCCCCGACCCCCCCTCACCCTCGGGGGTCTCCGGGCCCCCATCCCGAGCGCCCCCACCCACGCCAGCACCAGCGCCAGCGCGGGGGGGGTGGGCGCGGCCAGGGGGGGGGGAGGGGCCCCCCAGGCCCCCCCCCGCCCCTCCCCCACCGTGGCGCTCACGACCCCCACGAGCCCCAAAGGGAGGAGCAGCGACAGAGCCCCCGCGCCTGGGGGGAGAGACCCCAGACCCAAAACAGGAGGGCCCCAGACCCAAATTAGGGGGACCCCAGAGCCAAAATACACACAGATGAGACTCCAGACCCAAGATACCCATAGGTGAGACCCCACACCCAAAACAGGGATCCCAGACCCAAGATACCCCCAGGTGTGACCCCAGGTGTCACCCCGACCCAAATTAGGGGGACCCCAGACCCCACAGGTGAGACCCCAGACCCAAAATAGGGACCCCAGACCCAAAATGGGGTCCCCTCAACCACCAGGCGAGACCCCCCTCCCCAAAAAAGGCACCCGGGGACCCCCAGGTGTGACCCCACACCCAAAAACACGACAGGGGTCACTCCACACCCCTCCCCGAGGGACTCCAGACCCAAAAAGGGACCCCGCCCCCCCAAAAGGGGACCCGGGGCTCAGGACGCCCCTCCCCCCCCCCGCCCCCTCCCCAAAAAGGGCCCCGGTCGCGCCCCCCCCCCGCCCCCCCTCACCCCAGGGCCCCCCAAATTCCAGCTCGGGGGGAGGGGGCGCCGTTCGTGGGGGCTCCATGGCCGGGGGGGTTTCCTGGGGGGTCCTGGGCGCCACGGGGGCGTGGCTTGGCAGGAACCACGTCCCCCCCGGCGGGTGATGTCACCGCACCGCGCGGTGATTGGCTGCGGCAGGGCCACGCCCCCCGCTCTTAAAGAGACAGTGACCGAATCCTGCGGGTCTGTGACGTCACAAACTGCGTCATTACACAGCGAGGCCGCGAGAAAAACCGAATTTATTGAGGAAAAAACAACAAACGGGGGCGGGGGGCGTACGCGAGGGGGTCCTAAAAATCGGGGGGGGGGTCTCACCTCACATGTGGGAAGGGTCCCACACTGGAGGGGGGGGGGGTTCTCACACACTGGGGGGGGTCCGGGGGTCCCATGAGGGTCTCCAGATGTCTCCTGAGCTCTTGGGGCTTTCCAGGGGTCTCCAGGTGTCCATGGGGGTCTCCAGGGGTCTCCAGATATCCTTGGAGGTCTCTCGAGGGTTTCTGGGGATCTCCAGGGCTCTTGGGGGGCTCTCCCGGGGATCTCCTGGGGGTGTCTTGAGCTCTTGAGGATCTCCAGGGGCCTCTGGCAGTCTCGAGAGGTCTCCAGGGCTCTCCCAAGTGTCTCTGGGGGTCTCCGGGGGTCTCTGGGGGTCTCCAGGTGTCTCAGTGGGTCTGGGGTCACTCCACGACCAGGTGGAAGCGCTCGGCCTCCTCGAAGAGCGCGTTCATGGAGGCGGCCCAGGCCTCCAGCTCCGACACCTGGGGGGGATGAGGGGGAGATGGGGGGTCTGTGGGGGGCTGTGGGGGCACTGGGGGAAATGCGGGGGAGATGGGGGTCAGGGGGGTCTGTGGGGGGGGCTGAGGGGGCCGGGGGGTGCCGGGAGCAGCAGGGCGAGGGGAATGGGGGGGTCTGGGGCAGCGTTGGCTCTGTGGGGGGAAATGGGTATCAGGAGGGTCCGAGGGGGCAGCGGGGGTCCCTGGGGAGGGTCCCTGGGGGTCCCAGTGGCATTGGGAGGGTCTCTGGGTTAGGGTTAGGTCTCTGGGGGTCCCAGCAGTGGGGGGGGGGGGTCCCGGGGGGCTGTGGGCGGGCCCCGGGGGTGTCACTCACGTTGATGGGCGTCACCTTCCTCTTCCTCCTGCGCTCGGGGGGGGCGGGGCCGATGCGGGGAGGCCGAGGGGGGGGATCTGGGGGGGCGGGGGGGGAAGGGGCTCGGGGTGGGGGAGGGGCACGTTGAGAGGGAGGGGGCTCAGGGGGAGCCCACCCCGCGGGCTGAGCGCCCCCGCCCACCCCTCCAGGCGACTGTAGGAGCGACGGACACGGGGGAGGGGGGGAGGGGAGGGGGGATGGCGGGGGGGAGGGAGCGGCACGGGTGGGGGAGGGGGCGCAGGAGGGGGAGGGGGCGCAGGGGCCGTTCTCCTTCTGGCTCTGCAGCTGTGGGGGAGGGGCAGAGGGGGGGTCAGTGTAGGGAGGGGTCCTGGGATCACCAGGAACCCCCCCCCACCCCTCCCCCACCCCTCCCCCAACTCACCCGGGGGCTCCGTCGGGGTCGCTCAAAGTCCTGTGGGGGAGGGGAGGGGTCTGAGAGCTGCTCCGAGACCACCCCCCCCCCCCAAAACCCGGCCTGGGACCTCCCCAAAACCTCCCCAGCTCCGAGACCCCCCCAGGACCCTCCCCCACCCTATTGGCGCCCCCCAGCCCCCCCCCCCGCCCCCCACCCCGGTCCCCACTCACAGGGCTGCGGTCCCGGGGGTTCCGGGGGTCCCGGGGGCTCCGGCCCACCCGCGGCTCCGAGACCACCGAGCGCAGGGAGCTGCTCCGAGTCGCTGCGAATTGGGGAGGGGGAGATGGGAGGGGGTGAGGGGGGGGGCGCGACCCCCAGGAGCCCCCCGAGCCTCCTAGAAACCCCCCAGAGCCCCCGGACGCTCCCACGACCCCCCAGAATCCCCCAGACCCCGCAGGACCCCCAGGACCCCCCAAACCCCTCCCAGGACCCCCCAGGCCTCCTTCAGACCCCTCCTCGGGACTCCCCCAAGTCCCGCCAGGACCCCCCCTCACCCCTCGGGGACCCCCCAGAGCTTCCCGGGACCCCCCCTCACCCCTCGGGGACCCCCCAGAGCTTCCCGGGACCCCCCCTCACCCCTCGCGGACCCCCCAGACCCTCCCGGGACCCCCCCTCACCCCTCGGGGTCGCCCCCGCCGAGCGCCGCCCGCCACCAGCTCCCGCCATGGCGGTTCGAACCGCCGGAAGTGGCGTCATCGCCGCGCGCCGCGCGCCAAGGCAGGCACGGGGAGCGGCCATGTTGGGAGTGGCCGCGCGGCGGCGGCCGGTGACGCCACCAGGACGCGACGCACCCGGAAGCGCCAGCGGGGCAGCGCGTCGCCATAGGAACGTGTGAGTCGGGGGCGGGGGGGGCGAAATTTGGGGGGCTCTGGGGGCTCCAGGGGGGGCTGGGGGCTCCAGGAGGGGCTGGGGGATCCTGGGGAGCGCCGGGCGCGGCTTTGCGGTGTCCCTTGGTGTGCGGGGGGCTCTGGGGAGTCCCGGGACTTCCTGAGGGGTCTCGGGCAGAAGGAGAGGGCGAGAGAGTCCTGGGGGCTTCTCCTGCGGGGGGGTCTTGGGATCTTCTTCTGGGGAGGGGTCCTGGATATTCTGGGGGCCTTCTTCTGCGGAGGGGTCCTAGGAGCTTCTTGGGGGCTTTTTCTGGGGAGGGGTCCTGGATGTTCTCGTGGCCAAGGAGGGCCCCAGCCCCCCGAGACCGTCCCTCCCCCCAATTCAGGCCTCTCCAGCCCCCCAGGACCCCCTCAGCCTCCCAGACCCCCCCCATTTCCCCCAGGCCGCCATGGGGCTGTGCGAGTGCCCCAAGCGCCGCATCACCACTCTTCCCCAGGACCCCCCCCCATTTGCAGCCCCCCTAGGACCCCCCCCCCATTTGCAGCCCCCCAGGACCCCCCATTTCATTTGCAGCCCCTCAGGCCGCCATGGGGCTGTGCAAGTGCCCCAAGCGCCGCGTCACCACGCTCTTCTGCTTCGAGCACCGCGTCAACGTCTGCGAGAGCTGCCTGGTCAGCGCCCACCCCAAGGTGGGGCTGGGGGCTCCGGGGGGTCCCGGGGAGCTCCGGGGGGGCTCCTCGGCGCTGACCCCCCCTGTCCCCGCAGTGCATCGTGCGCTCGTACCTGCAGTGGCTGCAGGACAGCGACTACAGCCCGCAGTGCCCGCTGTGCCAGGCGCCGCTGGGGGACAGGGACACCGTGCGCCTGCTCTGCTACGGTGGGTGCAGAATTGAGGGGATTTGGGGGGGGTCTGGGGAGCTTTGGGGGGATCTGAGAGGGTCTGGGGGCCTGGGGGGCTCCAGGGAAGGCTGGGGAGTGATCTGGGGGCGCTCCAGGGGGTTCCTGGGTGTGCCCTGACCCCCCGTTTCCCCCAGACGTGTTCCACTGGCCCTGCCTGTCGGGGTGGGCTCGGGCGCTGCCCCCCCGCACGGCCCCCGCCGGGCACCGCTGCCCCCAGTGCGGGGGGGCGCTGTTCCCCCCGCCCAACCTGCAGGGCCCCGTGGCCGAGGCGCTGCGGGCGCGGCTCCGGACGGCGGCCTGGGCCCGGCCCGGGCTGGGACTGCCATTGGTGAGTGACCCAGAGAGACCCCAGCGAGCCCCCAGACCCACACAGAGACCCCTGAGTGACCCCAGACCCCCTTGACACCCCCAATCTCCCCCCAGATCGAGGACTCAGAGGCGCCGCCGGAGCCTGAGACGTGCCCGGAGCCAGACAGGGGCTGGGACGGTGAGGGGAGACCCCAAAACCACCCCAAAAACACCCGCAGAATCTCCAAAAACACCCCCTGGGACCCCCAAAACACCCCCTGGGACCCCAAAACCACCCCAAGGACCCCAAAAACACCCCCAGAATAGCCCCCGAGCCCCCAAAACACCCCTGGGATCCCAAAAACCACCCTGGGACCCCAAAACCACCCCAGGACCCTCAAACCACCCTGGGACCCTCAAAACCACCCCGGAGAGTCCCCTGGGCAACCCCCAACCCCAATTCTGCCCCCACAGTCCCCGTGACCCCCCCGGAGCCCCCCCCAAGCCCCCCCAGCCCCCACGCCGTGGTGCACATGGGGGGAGGGGAGACCCCGACGCTGCACGCGGGTGAGTCTGGGGGCTTCAGGAGGGGCTGGGTGGGTCTGGGGGCTTCAGGAGGGGCTCGGTAGGTCTGGGGGCTTCGGGGGGAGCTGGGTGGGTCTGGGGGGCTGCAAGGACTGCAGGGACTGCTGGGGCTGGGACCCCCCCACGGTGGGCATTGGGGGGGCAGGGCTTTAGGGTCGCTCCGCCCCCTCCGCCCAGGCTCCGCCCCCCGCAAGCCCCTGGGGGGTCGCGAGCCCTGGAGCCCCCCCGACCACGAGGAGGAGAAAAAATATCGGAGGAGACCCCGGGCGTGGCTGCCCCCGGGGTTCAGGTGGGTCTGGGGGCTGCAGTGGGGTCTGGGGGCTGCCCTGGGGCTGGGGTTTGCGGCCCCCCTGGGGGGGCTGGGGTCCCTTTGTGGGGTTCCATTGCGGTCACTTTAGGGGAGGTCATGGAGTCCTTCTGGGGGGCACTTTGGGGGGGTCATTCAGGGTCCTCTGGGGAGGTCAGGGCATCCCTTTTGGGGGGTCCCTCTGGGCACAATTGGGGTTCTATTGGGGGGTCCCCTGGGGGGGGTCATGGGGTCCCTCTGGGGGTCCCATTGGGCACCAATTGGGGTTCCATTTGGGGGTCCCTTGGGGGGGGGTCATGGGGTCCCTCTGGGGGTCCATTGGGCACCAATTGGGGTTCCATTTGGGGGTCCCTCTGGGGGTCCCATTGGACACAATTTGGATTCTATTGGGGGGTCCCTTGGGGGGGGTCATGGGGTCCCTCTGGGGGTCCCATTGGGCACCAATTGGGGTTCCATTTGGGGGTCCCTCTGGGGGTCCCATTGGACACCAATTGGGTTCCATTTGGGGATCTCTTTGGGGGCTCCTTTGGGGGTCCCTGGGGCTCTCTCGGGGTCCCTCTGTGCCCCCCCCCACCCTGTGCCCCCCCGCAGGTGCCGCCCCCGCGCGCTCTCGCAGCGCCCCCTGCTGGCGCTGTGCCTGGGCGGGGCCGCGGCCTTCGCGCTGCTCCTGATCCTATTGGCCAGCCTGGCCAGGGGCGTGGCCGACGCCGACCCCGCCCTCGAGCCGCTCAACAACCCCCATGTGCGGGTGGGGCACTGACCACGCCCCCGCTGGGGGCGGGGCTTCCGCGGGGGGGCGGGGCAAATAAAGGGCGCCCCTTTGTGGAGGAGGAGGCAGAAGCGTCTGTGTGGTCCTTGGGGGGCACCAGTTCCCCCCCAGTTCCTCCCAGTTCCCTCCCAGTCCCTCCCAGTTTGTCCGGTTTGTCCAGTTCCCCCCCAGTTCATCCCAGTCCCTCCCCAGTTCTTTCCAATTTCCTCCCAGTGCCTCCCAGTTTGTCCTGGTTCCTCCTCAGTTCCCCCCAGTCCCTCCCAGTGCCCCTCCTGTTCATCCCAGTTTGTCCCAGTCCCTCCCAGTTCCCAGCACACCAAACTGATCAGGACATTTGTTCTTTGCCCCCATACTGGGGGTCCCAGTCGTTTTTTTGGGGATTTCAGGGGTCCTGGGGATTTTGGGGAGTCCCAGTGGAATTTTTTGGCGTCCCAGTGGATTTCTGAGGGTCCCAGTGAAGTTTTGGGGGGTCCTGAGGGATTTTGGGGGGTCCCAGTGGATTTCTGGGGGTCCCAGTAGATTTTTTGGGGTTCCCAGTGGATTTTTGGGGTCTCCCCCCAGCTAGAATGGGTGGCCCCCCACTGACAGATGGAGGCGGAGCAAAGCCAGGCCCCGCCCAGTGGGAGGGGGCGGGTCCCAGGCGCCGGGGGGCGGTCCCTCTGTGCCGGGGGGCGGTCCCTCCGTGCCGAGGGGCGGGGCCTCGGGCGGGGGGCGGGGCCCCGGGCGCAGAAGCTCCACCTCCAGCAGCAGCTGCCGCGGGCCCGCCAGGGGGCGCACGAGCTCCAGCAGCGAGCTGTGATTGGTCAGCGCCTGCGGGGAGGCAGGGCCACGCACTGAGACATCAATTCCGCCCGAATGAACCCCAAATTCTCACCGAACGCCCCCCCCCCCCCCAAAATACCCCGAGACTCCTCCCCAAATACAGCCAGAGGCACCAAAGAGACCCCAGAGATCACCAGAGACCCCCCCAAAATACCCCGGAGCCCCCTCCCCAAATACAGCCAGAGACACCATTGACCCAAACCCCCACAGAGCCCCCCAGAGCCCCCCCCTCCCGTACCCGCAGCCGGAAGGTCCCGGGGGGGCCCCCCGCGCAGCCGCAGCCTCTGGGGGTCCCCGACCAGGGGGTGCCGGAGCTGGAAGATCCCGGTGGGCGCCTCGGGGTCTCAGGCAGCGCCAGGAACCGGTGCAGGAGCCAGCGGGGGCGGGGGGCACAGCCCGGGACCCCCCGGGGCACACGCAGGTCCTGGGGGGCCCAAAATGGAGAATTGAGGGGGGGTCCCCAAAGCTGAGACCCCCAAAACTGCCCAGGAGCCCCCCAGGGTGGGTGAGGGGGAGCCCCCCCGGAGTTTGGGGGATTTGGGGGGGTCCGTACCCGTTGTTTCGGGGGTGGGGGGCGTAGGGCCCCCGGCAGAGCTCCCGGGGCACGCACAGGTGCCCCCCGAAGGTGTTGAGGCAGCTCTGGGCCCCCCCGCAGCCGTGCGAGCCCTCCGAGCACTCGTCCCGGTCTGGGGGGGGAGAAGGAGGCTGAGACCCCCCCCCAGTGCCCCGAATCCCCCACAAACAATCCCAGAGCCCCCCAAAGGTGCCCAGAGCCACCCCCCCACCCCCACAAACGGCTCCCCCGCTACCCTGGTGCCCCCCCGTCCCCAACAGCCCCACAGCCCCCCAAAACTCCCAACAGCCCCCCTAAAATCCCCCCAAGCCCACCCAGAGCCCCCCCAAACCCCACCCCAGCCCCCCCAAACCTCCAAAACCCACCCTAAACCCCCCTCAAACAGTCCCAGAGACTCCCATCGTCCCCCAAATCTCCCTCCAACACCTCCCCAGCGCCCCCTACCCCGGCAGAGCCCCCAAACGGCCTCAGAGCCCCCCCCCAGGATCCCAAACCTCCCCAAAACCCCGAGCCCCCCTACCCTTGCAGAGCCCCCCCTCCTCGCTGTAGCCGGGGGGGCAGACGCAGCTGAAGCCCCCCGGGAGGTTCTGGCAGCGGTGCTGGCACCGGACCCCCCCCCGGCACTCGTCCACGTCTGAGAGACCCCGGGGGGGACACAGAGAGGGACCCCCGTGAGACCCCCGGGTGAGGGGGGCACAGAGAGAGAGACCCCCGTGAGACCCCCGGGCGGGAAAGAGAGACCCCCGGGGTGGGGGGGGGAGAAGAGAGAGAGGTGAGACTCCCGGGGGGCGGGGGGGCAGAGAGACCCCCGGGGCGGGCAGAGTGTCCAGACCAGCTGGGCGTGTCCCGACCCCGGTGGGCGTGTCCATTTACCCCGACCCTGGTGGGCGTGTCCCGACCCCGGTGGGTGTGTCCCTGCCGCGCTGGGCGTGCCATTTACCCAGACCCCGGTGGGCGGGTCCATTTACCTAGTGGGCGTGTCCATCATCCCAGTGGGCGTGTCCCGGGCGGGGGGCGTGGCTTACCGAGGCAGCGGTGCCCGTCGGGGCCCAGGGCGAAGCCGGCGCGGCAGCGGCAGCGGAAGGAGCCGAAGGTGTTGAGGCAGCGCTGGGAGCAGCGGGCGCCCATCGAGCACTCGTCCACGTCTGGGGGCACAGGGACACCCCGGGGCTTGGGACCGGGTCCGGGGGGCCTCACCCGCCCCCGGACCCCCGGCAGGGCCGGGGAGGGGTCCCGGCGGGGCTGGGGGGGCTCTGACCGAGGCAGGAGCGGCCGTCGGGGCCGAGGCTGAAGCCGGGGTGGCAGCGGCAGGAGAAGGCGCCGGGGGAGTTGGCGCAGCTGTGCTGGCACCAGCGGAACTGGCACTCGTCCTCGTCTGCGCCAAAAACACCCAAATTCACCCCAAAACCAACCCGAAACCAGCCCGTGAACACCCCTGGGAGCCACAGCCACCCACACCAGGGATCCCCACAGCCCCTTCAGCCCAAACCCCCCCCAAACCCCCCCCATTCCCACCCAAATCCCCCCAACCCCCCCCAGACCCCCCCATTCCCCCCGCACTGACCCACGCACTCGGTGTCCCGGTGCCGGTACCCGGGGGGGCAGCGGCACTCGAAGCCCCCCCGGACGTTGATGCACTCCTGGCTGGGCCGGCACGGGGGGGGCCCCGCGCACTCGTCCACGTCTGGAGGGGGGGAGAGGGGGAGGGGGAGAGAGGGACCCCCGAAATGGGAAATCCCCCCCGAAATGGGGAATCCCCCCGAAATGGGGACCCCTGAAATGGGGAATCCCCCCCGAAATGGGGAATCCCCCCGAAATGGGGACCCCTGAAATGGGGAATCCCCCCCGAAATGGGGACCCCCGAAATGGGGACCCTGACCCTGGGGAATCCCCCCCGAAATGGGGAATCCCCCCGAAATGGGGAATCCCCCCGAAATGGGGACCCCTGAAATGGGGAATCCCCCCCGAAATGGGGACCCCCGAAATGGGGACCCTGACCCTGGGGAATCCCCCCCGAAATGGGGAATCCCCCCCGAAATGGGGACCCCTGAAATGGGGAATCCCCCCGAAATGGGGACCCCCGAAATGGGGACCCTGACCCTGGGGAATCCCCCCCGAAATGGGGAATCGCCCCCGAAATGGGGACCCCGACCCTGGGGAATCCCCCCCGAAATGGGGAATCCCCCCCGATATGGGGAATCCCCCTCGAAATGGGGAATCCCCCCCGAAATGGGGACCCCCGAAATGGGGAATCCCCCCCGAAATGGGGAATCCCCCCCGAAATGGGGAACTCCATAACCGCGCCCCTTCCCGCCGCCCCGCACACTGATTTGCATCCATATTACCACGCCCCCCTCCCCACCCACCAATTTGCATCCACATAACCACACCCCTTTCCACCTTGCCCACTGATTTGCATGTACATAACCACACCCCTTTCCACCCCGCCCACCAATTTGCATCCACCCAGCCCCGCCCCTCCTCCTCAGGCCCCGCCCCCTTTACCTGCGCAGGTGCCGTCGGGGGCGGGGCCGAAGCCGGGCGGGCAGCGGCCGTCGGGGGGCGGGGCCGGGGCGGGCGGGGGCGGGGCCGGGGGCGGGGCGGGGGCGGGGCCGGGCCCGGGGCTGAGCAGCGCGGCCGAGCGGGGCAGGCACAGGTACCCCCCGAAATGGTTCAGGCACTTCATGGAGCCCCGGCAGGGCGGCGGGGACCCCACCGCGCACTCGTCCACGTCTGGGGGGCGAGGGGGGCGTCAGGGGGGAGACCCCGACCCAAAACACTGCCCGAGAGGGGCCATGGAAACCCCCCAAAAAACAGCCTGAGAGGGGAGCCCCCCGACCCAATCACGTCCCGAGAGGGGCCCCAAAACCCCCGACCCAAATACAGCCCCAGAGGGGAACCCATCCCCACAACTCTGCCCGGGACCCCCCAAACTCTGCCCCGGACCCCCCAAAACACCCAGGGAGCCCCAAACCCCCCCAGATCACCCCCGAGCGCCTCCCACGGACCCGGGACCCCCAAACCCCGCGGACCCCCCCAAACCCCCCATCCCCTCGCCCACCTTTGCAGTGCTCGGTCTCGGGGTCCCACTCGTAACCATCGCTGCACTCCTGGGGGGGGCGAGAGGGGTCACGCCCCCCAAAACCACCCCCCCGACCCCCCCCAAAAACAGCCCCCGACCCCCCCGCCCCGCCTCAGCCCCTCCCCCACAGCGGCTCCCGAAGTTTGGGGAGGGGCGAGGGGCCGAGGAGTTTTTGGAGAGGGGGTTCAGGTGTTGGGGGAGGGCCAGGAAGGTTTGGGGAGGGGGTCAGGACCCCCCCACGCCCCCCTCCCCCCATGTCCCCTTCCCCACCGCGTAATCCTCGGCTCCTCCAGGTCCGGGGGGGCCGCGGGGGCCACGCTGGCGCCGAGCGAGAGGAGGAGGAGGAGGAGGAAGAGCGGCGCGGGGGGGCCCATGGCGCTGGGGGGGGCACGGGGTCACCCCCAACTCCGCGACCCCCCGGAGCGTCTGGGACCCCCCCCCAACCCATCCCCCCAACCCATCCCCCCCCTCCCCCAACGGCCCCTCTGGGTCCGGGGGGGAGGGGCGTCTCTGTGGGGAAGGGGGCGTCCGGGGGGGCCCCGCAGAGGGGGGGGTGGGGTGTGAGCCCCCCCAGGACCCCCCCCCCAGAAGCCCCCGCGGCCTCACTCACCCCGCTCAGCTCTGGCCCCGCCCCCAGGCTCAAAAGCTCCGCCCCCTCCCCAAAATTGGCCCCGGAGCGCGGGAGAGCCCCTCCCCCACCCCAACGCTCCTCCCCTTTTTCCCCCTCCCCAAAATCTGGGGCCTCCCCCCTCCCTCTCCCCATTTCCTGAATTTGGGGACCCCGCTCCGCCCACCCCAAACTCTGCCCCTCCCCCCAACTCTGCCCCTCCCACCCCAAACCCAAAATTTTGGGGATCCCCCCCCCCCGAACGGCCCCACCTCGGCCCCACCTCAGCCTCGATTCCGGCTCTTTATTGCCCCCCCACTCCAATTGCTGGGGTCACACGGGAGGGGCACCCCTGGTTTGGGGGGTCCCGGTTTCGGGGGTCCCCCTTTTTTGGTGTCACCCCATTCCCAATGTCCCAATTTTTGGGGCGCTGCCGCTGCTGCTCCTCGGGGTTTGGGGTGTCCCAGGTTTGCGGTGTCCCAGGTTTGGGGTGTCCCGGGTTTGGGGTGTCCGGGTTTGGGGTGTCCCAGGTTTGGGGTGTCCGGGTTTGGGGTGTCCGGGTGCTCGGGGTCCCTTCCTGCAGGTTCCCCAAACACCCAAATTTTGGGGTGCTGATGCTCCATCCTCGGCCCGTTGGGTTTTCGCGTTTCCTGTCCTTTTTGGGGTCCCGTATTTGGAGGCTGCCCAAGCTTTGGGGTACCTCCAGCTTTTGGGGTATCTTCAGCTTTTGGGGTCCCCCCACTTCGGGGTCACTGCAGGCTCTGGATCCTTTCATTTCCCAGGGGCGCCGATTTTGGGGCTGTGTCCGTTTCAGGGGTGCAGTTTGGGGTGCAGCTCTTGAGGCTGTCCCCATTTTTGGGGCGCAGTTTGGGGTCAGTCGTGGTACAAGTGCAGCAGGCAAGGGCTGATGGTCGTGTCTGGGGCGCTGTTTTTGGGGTGCGGTTTGGGGGCCATGTCCTGTTTTTGGGGCACAGTTCCAGGGCAGTGTCCATTTTTGGTGCTGTTTTTGGGGTGCGGTTTGGGGGCCATGTCCTGTTTTTGGGGCACAGTTCCAGGGCAGTGTCCATTTTTGGTGCTGTTTTTGGGGTGCGGTTTGGGGGCCATGTCCTGTTTTTGGGGCACAGTTCCAGGGCAGTGTCCATTTTTGGTGCTGTTTTTGGGGTGCGGTTTGGGGGCCATGTCCTGTTTTTGGGGCACAGTTCCAGGGCAGTGTCCATTTTTGGTGCTGTTTTTGGGGTGCGGTTTGGGGGCCATGTCCTGTTTTTGGGGCACAGTTCCAGGGCAGTGTCCATTTTTGGTGCTGTTTTTGGGGTGCGGTTTGTGTTGCCTTCTGAAGCAAGGCAGGCGACCTGGTTCTGAGGAAACGGCACGGCAGCCCTCTCACTAGGGCCACTCGGGCCAATGACACACGCAGACATCAATGTGATGGACGGTCAAAAGGCGTTTATTGTCTCATCTCTTGGGTTTTTATAGTCTAAGGGGTCTCTACGTCAATGTGGGTCTGTCTTTACCATCTATGGTTAGTAAGAGGTGGACTGTTACTGGGTAGGGGATGGAAAGTTACTGGAATTTGGTTAGGAGGGTTACATTCCTATGTTAGTTTCTTATCTATGGGAAGCAGATGGTCTTATCTAAGGGGATCTGAGGGTCCTGGCTTTCCGTGACATCGCGAGATCTTCCGCAGTGCCTTTCCCTGTCTACCACATCTCCCCCCCCCTTTTCACAAATGAATGAGGTAGTCATATACATAGGTACTGAAGTGAGGTATGAGGTTGTAACTGGACAAGGGAAAGGAGTCTTGGGAAACTTGAGTAAGCTTTTGCCAGACAAGTTCGGAGGATCTTGTGACTGACGGTGTCCCCTGGTTGAATTCTCTGGTTGAATTCTCCGGTTGAATTCACAGCAATTGTCGTCGGCCTAGGTACCGGATGTTGGTCCGTTCCAGGCGGCTCTGAACGAACGAGACCAGCTTGTTCAGCAGGCATGGTCCGAAGGTGACTGTTAGAAACCTGTCTATATTTCTCTTTTGTGGATCCGGCTGGGTCCCTCAAGTAGATGGTGCACTTCTTCGTCTGAGTGGTGCAGGACCCTAGGAACAATCTGAACTTGGACACAGAAGTCGTTAGAGTCATTGAATTTGGGAAGGAACTCATAAGGACTCGCTCCGGATCGCTGGCAAACCCACCTCCCAGATGCGGATGGGACTGCCCACTTATTGTTTTTCCTGTTAGGCTTGACGATTTTGGTGCAGATGTTGCCTCCCCGCTTAGCTAGGGTTGCATTGCCAAAGCGTCTGCCTCGGCCTGTGACTTGACTCCGGGTGATTCCTTTGCGAGGGGTGTCCCATCTGCACTGGTGAGGGGCGTCGGCTGAGGAGTAACTGAAGGGAGTGTTTAAGGCGACTCCTTCGTAAAAAGGGGGGTTTGACATCATAACAAAGCCTGCAGGATTCGGTTAGGTTAGGGTTGGATTCGTTCGGGGATACAAAGGTAGCTTCTAACATGCGAAGGATTGGGTCTGAGTCTGACTCGGTTAAGCGGCTCCTCTGAAAGGTCTCCGCTTGACCGGTCGGGACTTTGCTGACCCCTGTGGGTAAGGTTTTGGGGTAGGTTATGTTTCTCCCTTTCGGCACGCTTTTAATCGCTTTGTTGGGTCCGACTGCTCGGGGTGCTGACGGTTGAAGCCTGATAATTTGCACGTTCCCCCTCTCTATTGACCCTTGAAGGACCACTGTCCACGTTCTGCCTGTGGCCCAGCTAGGGTGATCTGGCTGCAAGACCGTCCTGTTGTAATCGGTGCATGCCTGAAATCTAGGGATTTTATGCGGGTTTCGATGGAAGTTCCCGTGAAAGAAGAGGGGTATTCTGCAACCGATGGGTGCCCTGGTGAACTGTAGGAATTTGTCTGGCTCTTGTGGATCCCACCCAGGCCCCGACGGCCTGGCATCTGTAACTATGGTTTCGCAGCCCCAGTGCCCACAATATCCCCACCCTGGGTGATTGCAGTAGCTTTTCCCAGGGTTTGAAGCTGGGCACCAGTAGGATAGGTACGAGTGTTTGACGTGTGGGGAATAGGGGTGTACCTTTGGCTGTCCTGGAAACCCGTCGGTGATGCGGAGCACGGTGTGGCGATTTCTCTGAGTGCTTTGCCCCTACTAAGGTGTCGCATGACCCACCTGAAGGGCTGATGGGGGTAGTGATCTGGGCTGGCTTGCCCTCTGGCAACTAGCCCCAACAGCAAAATCCCACAGAAACTCCCTTGGTGCTTGGGTCTCACCCGTGCGGGTCTCTCGGGTGCTGCTTGGCGGCTTGGTGGTCTGTCGCTTTCGTCCGGAACCGGGAAGTACGCATCACGAGGGCGTCCCACGAGCAGGTCCTGTAAACAAATACTCGCAATTCTCGTCAGTCTCATTCTGCTCGCCCTGAAGGTCCGGTTTAATCGACTTAAGTGGACACCACCTGATTTTGCCGTCCTTTTTGACCGCTGCGTACCCTCGCCCCGTGAGCATCAGCCTCCAACCCCGTTCCCACTCGCCTAGCTCGTTTCTGATTACCACCTGTGGGCCCTCTTCTAGCGTTCGAGTGGCCCAGTGTTTTTGAACGGGACTGTTTGTTTCATCTCCCCTAGGGGATTGATTCAGTGCCAGCAAGGCGGTTGCCAGCATATGTGCCTGATCTCCTGGGGGAATGGCATTGGCAAAGCCTTCTGCTTTTGCCAACACTTCTATCTTGGCTTTCATGGTCTGGTTTGCTCTCTCAACTATGGCCTGTCCGGTACTGTTATGTGGGATGCCTTGCACTAACGTGATACCCCATTTCGAGGCAAATTCCTGTACTTGTTTGGAGGTGAAATTGGAGCCGTTGTCCGTTTTGATCTGCTTGGGGATACCTAGCCAAGCCATGGCTGTCAGCCAGTGCTGAATTGTGGCTTTGGAGTTAGTTTTGGGGTGCTGTGTGGCTATGATCGCTCCGCTATGAGTGTCTACTGTCACTGCAAGCCATGCTCGGGGCTTCAGCAGTTGACTTAAGGTGAAGTCCGACTGCCAGATTTCTGAGGGCTTGAGACCTCTCGGGTTGACTCCGTAGGTCCAAAGGGGTGACTTCTGGCAATGAGGGCAGGTGGCTACCACATGTCTGGCGTCCGCCGTCGAGATTCCACATCTCTTCGCCAGTGCTTTGACTCCGATGTGGAGCGACTCGTGCAGTTGACGGGCTCTTTTTCCAAGGTCCCAACGCCTTTTGCTGCGGCGTCCGCTTTGTCGTTGCCAATCTGGAAGTAACCTTTGATTGGGTCGTGGCTGTTGATGTGGATGACTGACATGGTGCCCTGTCGCGAGGAGAGTGCTTCTTCCAGCATTAGGGCTGCTGCTGATGTTGACACTCCTGGTCCTGCCATGGCTAGGCTGAGCCTTGCCACGAATATGGAGTCCGTTACGATGTTGAGGTGTTCGTCTTGGAAGAGTCCGCACGCCAAAACCACTGCTGCTGCTTCCAGCTGTTGCACTGACCGCGTGGGGTCACACGCTTTGACGCAGTGCCATTGCTCTCCTGCCTGCCACACTGCTGCTGCGGTTGAAGTCGTGGAGGAAGCGTCTGTGAAGACCGTTGGTCCCGGCTGCGGTCTGTCCTTGACCTTCGGCGGCATGTCCATGTCGACTATGGTCAGCAGCTTGGTCCAGGGTGGCTTGGAGGAGTAGGTGATTTCTCCTCCGAAGCCGGAGAGAGCAAGGGCCAGGTACTGTGATTTTGCGGCTGACTCTATGGTCGGCTGCTTGCGAAATGGAAGGTGGATGCTTGTCGGCTCCGTCCCTAGGTGTTTCAAGGCGAGTCTCCTGCCTTTCATGATGAGGTTGGCGATGCACTCGATTCCTGGGGAAAACGCACGAGCGGGTCTTCCGAGGACCACCCATTGGATCGGTCGGGCCTTTTCTGCAAGTCCTTGGGCGAGTGCTCCCACTCCCCCCTTCGGTGTAAAGTGGACGTACAGGTCCAGTGGCACGGCTGGATTCCACCTGGCAAGCGTGCCAGTGGCCATTTGGTTTTCGATGAAGTCGAGGGAGCTCGTTGCTTGCGGTGTCAGCTCCTTGGGTTCCCAGGGGTTCTTTCCTTTCAGGAGGTCGTACAGAGGGTCCATGACCTCGGGAGGAATCTGGACGATGTTGCGAAGCCACTGCAGCGATCCCACCAGGCGTTGCACGTCGTGGAGCGTCTCGGTGTCTCGGTTGATCTTCATTTTGGGGGGGTCACGTAGGAGCTCGTGATGCCCACTCCCAGGAAGGTCACGCAGGGTCCTCTCTTGATCTTTGCGCTCGCGATCTCGAAGCCGTTGGCTTGAAGGGTTTCCGTGACTGTGGTCACCAGGTGATCTACTTGGCTTGTCGATGGTGCTGCGACCAGGATGTCGTCCATATACTGGATGATGGTTGCGGTGGGATAGGAGTGTCGGACTGGCATCAGTGCTTTGTCCACGGTGATTTGGCATATGGTGGGACTGTCGACCCGGCCTTGCGGAAGTACTCTCCATTGGAAGCGAAGGTTGGGCCGCTCGCCGTTCCGAAATGCCCCGGAAAAGGCGAATCGCTCTCGGTCCTCAGGGTGCAGGGGTATTGAAAAGAAGCTGTCCTTGATATCCAGTACTGCACACGGCTGCCCTTCGGGGATGGCTGAGTTCGTGGGTAGCAGTGTCTGGACTGGACCCATGGGTCTGATCATCTTGTTCACTTCTCTCAGGTCGCGGACGAGACGATAGCCTTGTCCGGGCCTTTTGGGGACCACGAATACCGGGGTGTTCCAAGGGCTGGTGGAGGGTTCTATGTGACCCTTTTGCAGTTCTCGATCGACCTGTTCCAGCAAGGCTGCCATTCGAGGCTCTGTCAGGGGCCTCTGCTCAACCCATACAGGGTCTGATGATTTCCAAGTCAATTTGATTGGCAGCGGGGGGTGTACAGCAGTGGCCCTCGTGGTAAATTTGTGATCCGAAATCCAAGCAAGGAGAGAACGTCCCTTCCTAACAGGGGTGGAGAATTCTGCAAAATTGACTGCTCCCTGTGGGGGCATAGGGTTGAGGGTCCCCTGCCCCACTGGGGGTTGCTGTAGCTGGGCCGTCTCGCATTTGCAGCGGGAGGAGGCTGAGTGTGGCCCGCGCGCCCCCTCCCTCTCCCGTTTCCCCGGGGCCCGGGATGCTTGGAGTGAGGGTGCTGCCAGGGAAAGCTGTGCTCGCTGACTAGCTGTCCTTCCCCGGAAGCCTGGGCTAACACGGTCGTCTTGCCATTCCTGCTTAAATGCAATCCGCCCCGCCCCATCAAAAGCATGCGGCTTATTTGCGTAATATCAAAATTGAGCAGATCGTTATTGCTAGAAAGGCCGTCCTCAGGAGTGGGTACTACAACTGAGTTGATCCCTATTTCTGAAATCCCTTTGGCTTCTTTTGGGTTAACTGGGGTATATGCCCTTTGTTGGTTCCCCCGCGCTCCGGCAACCCCCCCTGGGAAAGCGTGCATGGAGGCTGCCGGTGCCCGGTCCCCACAGGCTGCTTTTATTTTTCCCCCATCGGTGAGTTTGTGTTGCGATTGTTTCCCGATATTGTTTGGAGCTTTATTCGGTTTCGCTCGAAACCGCATTAATTCTGCTCTCTCGGATTCCGAGTCCCAGCCGGGCTCGGTCGGCTCTTCCGAGCTGTCTCAGCAGCTGTTACTTGACTCTGAGCCGGAAGCTGAATGCCGGTACCCTTCCGGCGCTCCGTGCCATTTTGTGCGGCTCCGACCCCGCTCCTCCCTTTGGGGGTGGTGCCGCTCCCTCCCCCTGGAGTCTCCCCGCCTCCTGCCGGGGGAGGTCCTTGCCCTATGAGGACCTAATTTGAATAGAGCGCTCTGGTTGGTCTTGCACTCTACCGCGGGGACCGCCCCCCCTCCCCGCTCGCCCGCGCATGCGTTTTTAAGCAGCCTGACGGCATTTCCGCCCTTCTCCTCCTCTCTTCCGCCCTCGCCATGTGGTTCGGCGCCATTTTTAAACGCACATGGCGGGGGCGAGTTTTTACCGATCCCGGCAGGGTCCGACCATCCGGCCGCGTTCCGCGCCTTCTCCGCGGGTCCCTGCCAGAAGCATCGCGCGCGCTGCTCTGCCTCTTCTGCTGGATCGGCGACCGGCGGGGAAGGGACGGATAGAGAAACTGCGGTTTTCTCGGATGGTTCCGCGGGGGGGCTAGGACCCGGCGGGCTCCGTGGGAAGGTCGGGGGGTCCCCTGGGGGTTCCGGGGGGTCTCCTGGGGGCTCCGGGGGGTCTGGGCTCGGGCTCGGAAAGGGATGGAACGCGCCCGGCCCCCGCATGTTCCCGCCTTCAATCCGATCGCTCTCTGAGGCGGTTTGTGTCGCGGCCCCCACCCCAGCTTTGGTGTGGCTAATAAACCTGTACACGCGGCTTTCCGCGTCTCCTGTTCTTCTAACGTCTCGCGTAGGGTCTCTTCTACTTTCCCCCACGCTCTGAGGTTTTTACCTCTGCCTGCGGACTTAGAGTCCTCTGCTGAGGCGGCAGTGCACTTCTCCCGCGCTCCCGAATATAATATATTTACCGGACGTCCGATCGTCCCCAGCTCTAGGAGCCTTGCAATAGCAAGATTAGAGTTCCTGAGCTCACCTTTAATTCCCCATTGCTCATGAGCCTGACTTACGACCTTCGCTGTGGATTCCATGGTCCACGCTGGTCCGGAGGCGTCCCTCCCGCTGTAGTCGGACCCGCCGCTACAGCCGCCGCCCTCTGACCAGGAGAATTCCCGTTCCCCGGGCGCTGCAGCAGTCCCGGGTTTGGCACCAGTATGTTGCCTTCTGATGCAAGGCAGGCGACCTGGTTCTGAGGAAACGGCACGGCAGCCCTCTCACTAGGGCCACTCGGGCCAATGACACACGCAGACATCAATGTGATGGACGGTCAAAAGGCGTTTATTGTCTCATCTCTTGGGTTTTTATAGTCTAAGGGGTCTCTACGTCAATGTGGGTCTGTCTTTACCATCTATGGTTAGTAAGAGGTGGACTGTTACTGGGTAGGGGATGGAAAGTTACTGGAATTTGGTTAGGAGGGTTACATTCCTATGTTAGTTTCTTATCTATGGGAAGCAGATGGTCTTATCTAAGGGGATCTGAGGGTCCTGGCTTTCCGTGACATCGCGAGATCTTCCGCAGTGCCTTTCCCTGTCTACCACACGGTTTGGGGGCCATGTCCTGTTTTTGGGGCACAGTTCCAGGGCAGTGTCCATTTTTGGTGTTGTTTTTGGGGTGCGGTTTGGGGGCCACGTCCCATTTTGGGGTGCCGTTTTTGGGGCACAGTTCCAGGGCAGTGTCCATTTCCGGGGTGCAGTTTCGGGGTGCAGTTTCTGGGTGCAGTTTGGGGTCAGTCGTGGTACATGCGCAGCAGGCAGGCGCTGATGGCGGCCATGTAGCGCTCCCACAGCGCCTGGTGCCTGCAGAACGGGCAGAAATTAAATTTTAGGGTTTTTGGGGGGCACAAATGGGATCTGGGGGATCCCTCGCTTTTGGGGAGCCCCCCTGGAGCTCCAATCCACCCCCAGCCCCGTTCTGGGTGGCTTTGGGGTTCCCCTAAAGGCTCCTGGGGGGAGATTTGGGGAGTTCCTGGGTTTGGGGTCCCACCTGAAGCCCAGCAGGTTTCGGGGTGATTTGGGGTGGTTCAGGGGGGGTTTATGGGGTGTTTTAGGGGGTTCCTGGGTTTGGGGTCCCACCTGAACCCTGGCAGCTTTTGGGGTGATTTGGGATGTTTTAGGGGGCGTTTATGGGGTGTTTTGGGGGGTTTCTGGGTTTTGGGGCTCACCTGAAGCCCGGCAGGTTTCGGGGTGCTGCCGTGTAGTGCGTCAGGAAGAGCCTCAGGTCCCCCGGGCTCCACTTGTCGGAGCGGCACGGCTCGATCACCTGGGCGGACCCCAAAAACACACCTGGATCTGGGGGGGGTCCCACTCCAGGGGGGTCCCCGGGGGGGTTCTGGGTGCCATTTTGGGGGTGTGGTTTTTGGGGTGCGGTTTTTGGGGCGCCCCTCACCTTCTCCACCAGGTCCACGAAGAAGTCCCGCACGTCGCGGGCGTGGGTCAGCTTCCCCCCCACGTTCACCAGGGCCCGCGACAGAGCCTGGGGGGGCACGGGGGGTGTCAGGGACCCCCAGACCCGGGGGGGGCATTGGGGACCCCCAGAGCTGAGAGGAACCCAGCGGGGGCGTTGGGGACCCCCTAAATTCCCTCCCCTCCCACGCAACCTCCCCCACAAACGTGCACGGGGGCTCCTGCGGGATTTTGGGGGGTCCCAAGATTTTGGGGGAGCCCCTCCCCCTCCCAGCAGCCCCCGGGGGTTTTGGGAACCCCTCCCCCCACCGAGGACACCCCGTTTTTTGGGGGGATTCACCTTGAAATTGGCCTCGAGCTCGTTGTAGACCGAGATCTTCCCCCGCAGGGCCGAGCACACCAGGCTGGGGAAGGGGCAGGTTGGGGGGCTGGGGACCCCCAAAACCGGGACCCCCCCGGGAACCCCCCAAAACCGGGACCCCCCCAGGGAACCCCCCAAAACCGGGACCCTCCAAAACCGGGACCCCCCCAAAACCGGGACCCCCCACAGGGGCCCACCCCAGAGCCAGGATCCACCCCCCCAGGGACCCCCCAAAATCGAGACCTCCATTCCAGGGGTGTCCCAGTCCCCATCCCAGGGTGTCCCTGTCCTGTCCCCTCCCATCCCTGTCCCATCCCTGTCCCCATCCCAGTACTATCCGATCCCTGTCCCTGTCCCCATCCCCGCCCCTGTCCCCATCCCTGTCCCCATCCCTGTCTCCGTCCCTGTCCCTGTCCCATCTCTGTCCCCATCCCCGCCCCTGTCCCCTCCCATCCCTGTCCCCATCCCCGCCCCTGTCCCCATCCCTGTCCCATCCCTGTCCCCATCCCCGCCCCTGTCCCCTCCCATCCCTGTCCCCATCCCCGCCCCTGTCCCCATCCCTGTCCCATCTCTGTCCCCATCCCCGCCCCTGTCCCCTCCCATCCCTGTCCCCGTCCCCATCCCTGTCCCATCCCTGTCCCCATCCCCGTCCCTGTCCCTGTCCCATCTCTGTCCCCATCCCCACCCCTGTCCCCTCCCATCCCTGTCCCCGTCCCCATCCCTGTCCCATCCCTGTCCCCATCCCCGTCCCTGTCCCTGTCCCATCTCTGTCCCCATCCCCACCCCTGTCCCCTCCCATCCCTGTCCCATCTCTGTCCCCATCCCCGCCCCTGTCCCCTCCCATCTCTGTCCCCATCCCCGCCCCTGTCCCCATCCCTGTCCCATCCCTGTCCCCATCCCCGCCCCTGTCCCCTCCCATCCCTGTCCCCATCCCTGTCCCTGTCCCTGTCCCATCCCTGTCCCCATCCCCGCCCCTGTCCCTGTCCCATCCCTGTCCCCGTCCCTGTCCCTGTCCCATCCCTGTCCCCATCCCTGTCCCCATCCCCGCCCCTGTCCCCTCCCATCCCTGTCCCATCCCTGTCCCCATCCCCGCCCCTGTCCCCTCCCATCCCTGTCCCCGTCCCTGTCCCTGTCCCATCCCTGTCCCCATCCCTGTCCCCGTCCGTGTCCCCATCCCCGCCCCTGTCCCCGTCCGTGTCCCCATCCCTGTCTCCGTCCCTGTCCCATCCCCGCCCCTGTCCCATCCCTGTCCCCATCCCTGTCCCCATCCCCGCCCCTGTCCCATCCCTGTCTCCGTCCCTGTCCCCATCCCATCCCTGTCCCCATCCCTGTCCCCATCCCTGTCCCCGTCCCTGTCCCTGTCCCATCTCTGTCCCCATCCCCGCCCCTGTCCCCTCCCATCCCTGTCCCATCTCTGTCCCCATCCCCGCCCCTGTCCCCTCCCATCCCTGTCCCCATCCCCGCCCCTGTCCCCATCCCTGTCCCATCCCTGTCCCCATCCCCGCCCCTGTCCCCTCCCATCCCTGTCCCCATCCCCGCCCCTGTCCCCATCCCTGTCCCATCTCTGTCCCCATCCCCGCCCCTGTCCCCTCCCATCCCTGTCCCCGTCCCCATCCCTGTCCCATCCCTGTCCCCATCCCCGTCCCTGTCCCTGTCCCATCTCTGTCCCCATCCCCACCCCTGTCCCCTCCCATCCCTGTCCCCGTCCCCATCCCTGTCCCATCCCTGTCCCCATCCCCGTCCCTGTCCCTGTCCCATCTCTGTCCCCATCCCCACCCCTGTCCCCTCCCATCCCTGTCCCATCTCTGTCCCCATCCCCGCCCCTGTCCCCTCCCATCTCTGTCCCCATCCCCGCCCCTGTCCCCATCCCTGTCCCATCCCTGTCCCCATCCCCGCCCCTGTCCCCTCCCATCCCTGTCCCCATCCCTGTCCCTGTCCCTGTCCCATCCCTGTCCCCATCCCCGCCCCTGTCCCTGTCCCATCCCTGTCCCCGTCCCTGTCCCTGTCCCATCCCTGTCCCCATCCCTGTCCCCATCCCCGCCCCTGTCCCCTCCCATCCCTGTCCCATCCCTGTCCCCATCCCCGCCCCTGTCCCCTCCCATCCCTGTCCCCGTCCCTGTCCCTGTCCCATCCCTGTCCCCATCCCTGTCCCCGTCCGTGTCCCCATCCCCGCCCCTGTCCCCGTCCGTGTCCCCATCCCTGTCTCCGTCCCTGTCCCATCCCCGCCCCTGTCCCATCCCTGTCCCCATCCCTGTCCCCATCCCCGCCCCTGTCCCATCCCTGTCTCCGTCCCTGTCCCCATCCCATCCCTGTCCCCATCCCTGTCCCCATCCCTGTCCCCGTCCCTGTCCCTGTCCCATCTCTGTCCCCATCCCCGCCCCTGTCCCCTCCCATCCCTGTCCCATCTCTGTCCCCATCCCCGCCCCTGTCCCCTCCCATCCCTGTCCCCATCCCCGCCCCTGTCCCCATCCCTGTCCCATCCCTGTCCCCAACCCCGCCCCTGTCCCCTCCCATCCCTGTCCCCATCCCTGTCCCCGTCCCTGTCCCATCCCTGTCCCCATCCCCGCCCCTGTCCCCTCCCATCCCTGTCCCCGTCCCTGTCCCCGTCCCTGTCCCATCCCTGTCCCCATCCCCGCCCCTGTCCCCTCCCATCCCTGTCCCCGTCCCTGTCCCTGTCCCATCCCTGTCCCCATCCCCGCCCCTGTCCCTGTCCCATCCCTGTCCCCATCCCTGTCCCCATCCCCGCCCCTGTCCCCTCCCATCCCTGTCCCCGTCCCTGTCCCATCCCTGTCCCCATCCCCGCCCCTGTCCCTGTCCCATCCCTGTCCCCGTCCCTGTCCCATCCCTGTCCCCGTCCCTGTCCTTGTCCGTGTCCCCATCCCCGCCCCTGTCCCCGTCCGTGTCCCCATCCCTGTCTCCGTCCCTGTCCCATCCCCGCCCCTGTCCCCATCCCTGTCCCCTCCCATCCCTGTCCCCATCCCCGCCCCTGTCCCCTCCCATCCCTGTCCCATCCCTGTCCCCATCCCTGTCCCCGTCCCTGTCCCTGTCCCATCTCTGTCCCCATCCCCGCCCCTGTCCCCTCCCATCCCTGTCCCCATCCCCGCCCCTGTCCCCTCCCATCCCTGTCCCCGTCCCCGGTGCCACCTCTTGTGCTGGTCCAGCAGGTCCTTGTCGCTCACCAGCACCTTCAGCTCCTTCAGGTCCTGCAGGAACGACTTGGGCAGGTCCCCGTCGGGATCGGCCGCCTCGGGGGCTGCGGGGACACAGTGGGGACACAGTAGGGACACCATGGTCACTGGGGTCACGGGGACAGGGTCAGTGGGGTCACCGGGGTCATGGGGTCACAGGGACAGGGGGTCATGGGCATTTTTGGGTACCCAGAGCCCCCTGGCTCCAGTGGGCCATCATGCTCTGGGGATTTTGGGGTTTTTGGGGTGTTTTGGGTGTTTTTGGGTACCCAGAGCCCCCTGGCTCCAGTGGGCCATCATGCTCTGGGGATTTTGGGGTTTTTGGGGTGTTTTTTGGGGTGTTTTGGGTGTTTTTGGGTACCCAGAGCCCCCTGGCTCCAGTGGGCCATCATGCTCTGGGGATTTTGGGGTTTTTGGGGTGTTTTTTGGGGTGTTTTGGGTGTTTTTGGGTACCCAGAGCCCCCTGGCTCCAGTGGGCCATCATGCTCTGCGCGCAGGCTGCGAAGTCCCCGAAGCTCAGGAACTGCAGGCGCCTCTTGCCCGTCTCGAAGCGGCTGTTGGCGAAGAACACGATGGCGGCGTAGTCCCTGGGGGGAAAGGGGGGTCAGGGCACCCCAAAAAACCCCAAAACCCCTCCCATAAACCCCAAATATCCCCCAAATCCCGAAGAACACGATGGCGGCGTAGTCCCTGGGGGGAAAGGGGGGTCAGGGCACCCCAAAAAACCCCAAAACCCCTCCCACAAACCCCAAATATCCCCCAAATCCTGAAGAACACGGTGGCGGCGTAGTCCCTGGTGGGGAAAATGGGGGGTCAGGGCACCCCAAAACATCCCCTAAATACCCCCCACAAACCCCCCAAACCCTAAATATCCCCCAAAACATCCCCCACAAACCCCAAACATCCCCACAAACCCCCCAAACCCTAAATATCCCCAAATCATCCCCCACAAATCCCAAATACCCCCCAAACCCAAAGAACACAATGGCGGTGTAGCTCCTGAGGGGAAAAATGCGGCAAACCCCCCCAACCACGGGAGCATTTGCGGGGCCCTGAAAGCCCCCCCAAGCCCAGAGACCCCCCCAGGACCCCCCCAGACCCCCAGACCCCCAGTGTGCCCCCCCCTCACCGTGCCAGGGCGGGGGGCAGCAGGAAGAGCTGCTGGATGTTCTCGGCCAGGGGCCCCCGCAGCTCCTCCACCGCCTTGAAAACCCTCTTGAAGTTGTCAAACTGGGGGGGCAGGGGGGGTCAGCACCCCAAAAACACCCCCAGGGACACCTAGACCCCCACCTTTGGGGTTTTCCCAGGTTTTGGGGTATTTTTCCCCGAGTTTTTTGGGTTTTTTCTTCCCCCGTTTCAGGGCTCCCCATTTTGGGGCTTTTTCCCCAGTTTTTTGGGTTTTCCCCCCATTTTTGGGGTGTTTTTCCCCGTTTTTGGGGCGCACCTGGCAGCGGCAGCTCTGGATCCCCACCCCGGTGCGGGCGCTGATCTCGTTGGTGTTTCCCCCCCCGTTTTTGGGGATTTTCCCCCATTTTGGGTTCCCCCCCGTTTTTGGGGTGTTTTTCCCCGTTTTCGGGGCGCACCTGGCGGCGGCAGCTGCGGATCCCCACCCCGGTGCGGGCGCTGACCTCGTCCAGCTCCTTCTTGGTGCCCTTGGAGAGTTTCTTGCCCAGCAGCTCCCGGGCCAGCGCCTCGTCAAAGGCATAGTACCTGGGGGGGTAAAAAAACCCCAAAACCGTGAGAAAACGCCGAAAATGGGGAGAGAAAACCCCCAAAATGGGGACAAATTATGGAAAAACATAAAAGCAGGGAAAAAACCCCAAAAACAGGGGAGAAATTAGGGGGAAACCAGCTCCCAGTGCTCCCAGTCCCTCCCAGTCTATCCCAGTTTATCCCAGTTTGTGCCTCTGCACGAGCAGGGCCTGTCTCTCGGAGGGATCAGGAACAGTCCATCCCAGTCCATCCCAGTCCATCCCAGTCTATCCCAGTCCATCCCAGTCCCTCCCAGTCCATCCCAGTCCATCCCAGTCCATCCCAGTCCATCCCAGTATATCCCAGTCCATCCCAGTCCATCCTAGTCCATCCCAGTATATCCCAGTCTATCCCAGTCCATCCCAGTCCATCCCAGTATATCCCAGACCATCCCAGTCTATCCCAGTATATCCCAGTCCATCCCAGTCCATCCCAGTCCATCCCAGTCCATCCCAGTATATCCCAGTCCATCCCAGTCCATCCTAGTCCATCCCAGTATATCCCAGTCTATCCCAGTCCATCCCAGTCCATCCCAGTATATCCCAGACCATCCCAGTCCATCCCAGTATATCCCTGTCCATCCCAGTCCATCCCAGACCATCCCAGTCCATCCCAGTCCATCCCAGTCCATCCCAGTCCCTCCCAGTCCATCCCAGTCCATCCCAGTATATCCCAGTCCATCCCAGTCCATCCTAGTCCATCCCAGTATATCCCAGTCTATCCCAGTCCATCCCAGTCCATCCCAGTCCATCCCAGACCATCCCACAACATCCCAGTCTATCCCAGTCCATCCCAGTCCCTCCCAGTCCATCCCAGTCCATCCCAGTCCATCCCAGACCATCCCAGACCATCCCAGTCCATCCCAGTATATCCCAGTCCATCCCAGTCCCTCCCAGTCCATCCCAGTATATCCCAGTCCATCCCAGTCCATCCCAGTCCATCCCAGACCATCCCACACCATCCCAGTCCATCCCAGTCCATCCCAGTATATCCCAGTCCATCCCAGTCCATCCCAGTCCCTCCCAGTCCCTCCCAGTCCATCCCAGACCATCCCAGTCCATCCCAGTCCATCCCAGTATATCCCAGTCCATCCCAGTCCATCCCAGTCCCTCCCAGTCCCTCCCAGTCCATCCCAGTCCATCCCAGTCCCTCCCAGTCCATCCCAGACCATCCCAGACCATCCCAGTCCATCCCAGTATATCCCAGTCCATCCCAGACCATCCCAGTCCATCCCAGTCCATCCCAGTATATCCCAGTCCATCCCAGACCATCCCAGACCATCCCAGTCCCTCCCAGTCCATCCCAGTCCCTCCCAGTCCCTCCCAGTCCATCCCAGTCCATCCCAGTCCATCCCAGTCCCTCCCAGTCCATCCCAGACCATCCCATTCCCTCCCAGTCCATCCCAGTATATCCCAGTCCATCCCAGTCCATCCCAGTCCATCCCAGTCCCTCCCAGTCCCTCCCAGTCCATCCCAGTCCATCCCAGTTTGTACCGCTGCACGAGCAGGGCCTGTCTCTCGGGGGGGATCTGGAACAGCAGCTGCTGCAGCAGCCGGGGGGGGGCGTGCAGGAGCCGCTCCAGCATCTGGAACGTTCTGTAGTGGTCGCGGGTGTCACTCTGCAGCACGGCCACCGACGTCCCCTCGCGCTCCAGGACCCCGCCCCGCAGGCGACGGGCCACGGCCTCGGCCACTGGGGACACATTGGGGACATTGGAGATATTGGGGACAGTAAATGTTCCCCACGTGTGCTCAGGTGTGTCACAGTTGTCCCCAATGTCCCCAGGTGTGTCCCCATGTCCCAGGTGTGTTCACCTGTCCCCAGGTGAATCCCTACCTGAGTGTCCGTTCAACCACAGCCAGTACGCCTCCTCTGTCCCTGTGTGTCCCTGCTGTCCCCATGCCCCAGGTGTGTCCCAGGTGCGTCCCCAATGTCCCCAGGTGTGTCCCAGGTGTGTCCCTGCCATACCTGAGTGTCCGTCCAGCCACAGCCGGTACACCTCCTCGTCGATCAGCGTCGTGTTCCCCACGAACACGTCCAGGTCACTGCTCATGGCTGGGGGACGGCACAAACGTCACCGAATGGCCCCAAAATGTGCCCAGATGTCCCCAGAGCTGCCGTCAGGGACACGCTGACCCCACACTGGGAGCCCCTGAGCCCAGACTGGGCCGCACTGGGATCACGGCCCCCCACCCCAACCCAGACTGGGCCCGCCCCTCCCCCAAACTGGGCCCCGCCCCCCCGGACCCCTCCCCCACCCGGGGCAGCCCCTCCCCCACCCCCGGGACCCCTCCCCCACCGACCGGCGCCGTTCCGCGCGCTCCTCCCGCGGCGCACAGCGATGACGTCACATGCTCGAATATACGACGTCACGGACGGGGGCCGAGCCGCAGAGCGCGAGCCACGCCCACCTCCGCGCGGCGCGCGAACCCCGCCCCCCGGGTGCTCCCAGAAAAAACCAGTGAAAACCAGTAAAAACAGTAAAAATCAATAAAAACCAGAAAAAATCAGCAAACAACCCAGTAAAAAACAGTAAAAACTGGTACGAGAGAAAAACAGCTCCAGGAAAAACAGTAAAAAGCACTAAAAAGCAATAAAACCAGTCCCTCCCGGTGTCCCCAGTTTGGCACCAGTGTCCCAAATCCCAGTCCCTCCCAGCCCCTCCCAGTCCCCCCCAGGGGGGACCTTTTTCACGGTGACGCCGCGAGAGGGGCGGAACCATCGCGCGGAGCCGCAGGGGCGGGGGGCATTTCCGGTGCGGGACTCTTTTAACGCATGCGCAGCCGCCCGGCCCGGCCGCCGCCGCCATCATGGCGCTGTGCGACCCCCCCGGCGCCGCCAGCCCCCCCCGGCCGCCGCTCAGGTACCGGGGGGAAACGGGAACACCGGGACAGCCCGGGGGAGCGGGGACAGCCCGGGGGGCGAGGGGAGGGCGGCGGGACCTCCCTGGGGGTGGGAGCGGCGACCCCCGGAGCTGGGAGCGGTCCCGCCCCTCAGAGACCCCCGGAACGGGACCCGACCCCCAGAACCGGACCCTACCCCCGGTTCCCCTCCGGTTCCCCCATCCCGCCGTTGTCCCCCCCAGTTGGAGCCCCCCCCCCGCCCCTTCCCTCACTCCTCTGGGAGTCTCCCTCACCTCCTTTTTAACCTGTTTTAAATTTTTTGAAACCTATTTTAACTCCGCTTTAACCCCTTTTTAACAATTTAAAGCCCCTTTTAACCCACTTTGCCGCTCTTTAACCCCATTTTACCCCCATTTTAAGCCCTTTCATTCCAATTTTTACCCCATTTTATTCACATTTTCCCCAATTTCACCCCATTTTAACCCATATCCCCTCTCCCCAGTGCCCAGGAGCTGTCCCAGGAGGTGAAGGCGTTCCTGAGCAGGCTGGACTCCGTCCAGGGCACCCTTTGTATCCCATTTTAACCCCATTTTAACCCTGTTTTTCCCCATTTTAACCCATTTCTCCTGTCTCCCACAGTGCCCAGGAGCTGTCCCAGGAGGTGAAGGCGTTCCTGAGCGGGCTGGACCCCGTGCAGGGCACGCCGCTGTCGCCGCCGGCCCACGCCCGCTGTGCCCTGCGCCTGCTGCGCTGCTTGCCCCCCGCCCGCCACGCCGCCCTGCAGCACCTGCGCGGCCTCTTCGACGAGCAGGTGTGCCAGCACCTGCTGCAGCGCGAGAGCCCCGCCCCCGGGCCCGCCCCCAAGGCCACGCCCGGCGCCGAGGTGCTGCAGGAGGCGCGCCGGGCCCTGGCCGAGCTGGTGGCCGCCAATCCGCGGGCGTGGGCGCCCGGCGTGGCCGCGTGGGCCAGCGAGCTGATGGGGCAGCTGAGCAGCAAGTACGCCAACCGGCCTGGCGTGCCGCCCGCCGCCAGCCTCAACGAGCTGCTGCAGCTGTGGATGGCGTGCCCGGCCACGCGGGCGCTGCTGGACATCTACAGCCAGTGCCTGGCCGCCATGGTGGGCAGCTGCCCCGACGCGTGCGTGGACGCGCTGCTGGACACGTCGGTGCAGCACTCGCCGCACTTCGACTGGGTGGTGGCGCACGTGGGCTCCTCCTTCCCCGGCACCATCATCAGCCGCGTGCTGTCCTGCGGCCTCAAGGATTTCTGCGCGCACGGCGGCGCCGAGGCCGCGGGCACGGCGGGCGACAAGCGCGTGCCCAAGATCGCCTCGGTGGTGGGCATCCTGGGCCACCTGGCCTCGCGCCACGCCGGCAGCATCAAGCAGGAGCTGCTGCGGATGTTCCACGAGAGCCTGGGCTCGCCCCGCGAGCACCACAAGGCCACGGTGCCCTTCCTGCTGCAGCTGGCGCTCATGTCGCCGGCGCTGCTGGCCGCCGTGTCCCCCGAGCTGGTGGACTCCCTCAAGCCGCCGGTGCTCAACCAGCTGCACCAGCACTTCTCCTCGGTGCCCCGGGACGAGCTGGAGGGCGTGGTGGGCGTGGTGGTGCACCTGCTGTGCCACACCTCGGCGGGGGCGCTGCGCACGCTGCGCTTCCTGCTGGCCACGGCCGCGCCCGCCTCGGTGATCACGGCGCCGGGCCCGGCGCTGCACGAGGGCGTGCGCGAGGCCTGCGAGCGCCTGCTGCAGCTGCTGCTGCTGCACCTGCAGAAGCTGGTGCACTCGCGCAGCTCGGCCAGCCTGGCCGAGTGCCCGGCGCGCCCGGTGCCCTTCCTGGAGGCGCTGCGGCCGCACGTGCGGGAGCTGTGCCAGGACACGCTGCGGCTGGAGCGGCGCCGCTGCCTGTGGCAGCACCAGCTGCTGGCGCTGCTGGCCGTGCACTCGGCCCCGCACGGCGCCGCCGAGGCGCTGTTCTACCTGCTGGCGCTGGCGCGCACGCCCGAGGAGCTGGCGCTGGCGCCGCAGCTGCACGCGGGGCTGCGCGCCGTGCTGCCCGACCCGCTGCCCGCCGCCGTGGCCGCGGCCGTGGCGCAGATCCACGCCGGCCGCCTGCCCGAGCCGCAGCTGGCGCAGCTCCTGCGCAACCTCTCGCTGCTGCTGCAGCCGCGCGGCGACGACGGCGGCGAGCCGGGGGACGCGGCGCTGGGCGCGGCGCTGGCGCGGCACCTGCCGGACCTGGCGCAGCTGCTGCTGCACCCGCGCGCCGAGGTGGCGGAGGCGGCGTGCCGGCTGCTGGCGGCGTGCCCGCTGCCCCGGGCGCTGCCCCCCGCGCACCTGCTGCCCGCCGTGCGCGCCGCCGTGCGCGGCTTCTTCGCGGGGCTGCGCCGGGGCGACGCCGCCGCGCCGGCGCCCGGGGTGCGGCTGCTGGCGCGGCTCAGCGCCGTCAGCCCCGCGGCCGCCAAGGCCGTGCTGGCGCAGCTGGTGGAGGGCGCGCTGGGCGGGCACAACGCCGAGCTGTTCGGGGGCGGCGCGGACCCGCCGGGCCCCGAGGCCGCCCCGGCGCCGCCGCCGGCGTCGCTGCTGGACACCAACCGGCGCTTCACCGCCGGCCTCACCACGGCGGGCGGCGTCTGGTCCGTGTTCCACGCCGGCGTCATCGGCCGCGGGCTCAAACCGCACGCCGGGCCGGGCCGGCGCAGCCCCGAGGAGCTGAACCGCAACACGCAGACCTTCCTGAGCCTCCTGCTGCGCTGCTGCCCGCGGCTCCGGCCCCGCCGAGGCCGCCAAGGCGGTGGCGGCGGCGCTGGTGGAGGCCGTGTGCCCCGAGGCCGCGGGCGCCGAGCTGGCCTGGCCGCCCGAGGAGCTGGCCCGGGCCACGGTGGAGCGGGACCTGCGCATCCTGCGGCGCTTCCGGCAGCACCCGCTGCTGTTCCCGCTGCTGCGGCTCGTGGCCGGCGGGCACCCCGCGCTGTGCTACTGCTCCGTGCTGCTCCGCGGGCTCCTGGCCGGGCTGGTGGCGCACTGGGACGCCTGCAGGGACCCCAGCACGGGCGCCTCGCCCTGGCACCTGCGCGCGTCCTGCGCCCTCGTGGCGCTGCTGGCCGAGGGCTCGCTGCTGCCCGCCCGTGCTGGGCAACATGCACGAGCTGTTCCCCGAGCTGGCGCCCTTCGAGGTGCACCTGCTGCTGCTCAGCGTGTGGGGCTACCTGCGCGAGAACAGCCCCCTGCCACAGAAATTCACCTTCCAGCCCGAGCTGGGCGTGTTCCGCAGGGACTTCGGCAGGGACGGCGACCTCAGCAAACACCTGGCGGTGCTGCACGCCGTGCTGCACAGGAACATCACCGCCTGGGGCTGCTGGCCGCAAGGTTCTACCCCTGAGGGGCAAAACGGGGGGTGCGGGGGTTGGGGGTCAGGGGAGGCGGAGATACAGATTTGTAATAAAAGGAAAGAAAAGAGAGATCGGTGTGGAGTGCGGGGGTCCTGAGGGGGGTTTGGGAGGGGCTGGGGGTGTTTGGGGGGGTCCTTGGGGGTGTCTAGATGGCTTGGGGGCAATGGTTTGGGGGTCCCAGGGGAGTTTTGGGGCGTCTCAGGAGAGTCCCGGGGCTGTATTGGGGGTCTCAGGAGGTTCTGGGGGTGACGAAGAGGTCCTTGAGGGTGACCAGATGGGTTGGGAGGGGGTTCCGGGTAAGGTTTGGGGGTCTCAGGAGGGTCTGGGGGTGTCCAGAGGAGATTTGGGGAAAGGTGTGGGGGTCCTGGGGGTGTTTTGGGGGTCCCCGGGATGTTTTGGGGGTCCCTGGGGGTCTTTGGCGCTCCCGGAGCACTACCGATCCCGCCCTGTCAATCACACGCCTGTCCCCGCCCATCGCTCATAACTAACCGACCAATCACCGCCCTCTCTCGGGCCGTAACCCCGCCCCTTCCCTGAGCGCGGCTCTCATCTTGGTGGGCGGGGCTTTATGCTTGGCGACCAATCAGCGCCCCGCTCCCTGGCGGGATTCCGTCACTTCCGGCAGAAGCGGAAGCGTTGCGGAAGCGGCGGCGGCCCGAGGATGTTTTACCACGTGAGCGGCACCGGGGGGTCACGTGCGGCACCGGGAGGGTCACGTGTCACACCGGGGGTCACGTGTCACACCGGGGAGGGGGTCCCGGGGGTGTTCCCGCCCTTGGGGGGCCTCCCGGAGCGTTCCCGGTAACTTCCGGTGCCCTCCCGGTGCCCCCCGCAGATCTCCCTGGAGCACGAGATTCCTCCTGCACCCCCGGTACTTCGGGCCCAACCTGCTCAACACCGTCAAACAGAAACTCTTCACCGAGGTGGAGGGGACCTGCACCGGGAAGTGAGCGCGGGAACCGGGGGGGACCGGGAGGGACCGGGGGGGGACCAGGAGGGACCGAAAATCCAAAAAACAGCCCCCAAACATTCCAAAACCACCCGCGGAAAACCCAAAATCCTCCTTGGGACATCCCTGGGATCCCCGCCGGGACCTCCCGGTATCCCGAGAACCCCAAAAATGCCAAAAACGGCCCCAAAAGAACCCAAAACAACCCCGGGACCCCCCAAAAAACCCCAAAACAGCCCCGGGACCCCCCAAATCCACCCCAAAACCCGAAAATCCCCCTAAATTCTGCTGAGATGCCTCTGGGTCACCCCAAACACCCCCAAAAATCCCAAATAGCCCAAAAAACCCACAAAACCTCAATAAATCCCAATAAACCCCAATAAATCCCCTGTTTCAGGTATGGGTTTGTAATAGCAGTGACCACAATCGATCACATCGGTGCCGTGGTGATCCAGCCCAGCTGGGGGTTCGTCCTTTACCCCGTCCAGTACAAGGGAACCCCAATAACCCCCAATAAACCCCAATAAATCCCAATAAAACCCCAATTAATCTGGTTGCAGGTACGGATTCGTTATAGCAGTGACCACCATTGACAACATCGGGGCCGGTGTGATCCAGCCCGGCCGGGGCTTCGTCCTGTACCCCGTCCGCTACAAGGCCATCGTGTTCCGGCCCTTCAAGGGGGAGGTCGTGGACGCCGTGGTCACCCAGGTCAACAAGGTCAGGGGTCACACTGGGGTCACACAGGGGGACAAGGTGACATTTTGGGGGTGACCCCGAGGTGTCTCAGGAGGGTCCGGGGGGATTTTGGGGGGTTCCGGGGAGGTCTGGGGGGTCCTGGGGGTGTTTTGGGGTCACCCAGGTGGCAATTCTGGGGCTCTGCAGGGCCCTGACCCCCCTTTCCCATCCCTTTTCCACCCATTTTCTGTCCCTTTTTGTGCCTTTTTGTCACTTTTTACCCCTTTGTTAACCCTGCTTTCCCTTCTGTTCCTTTCTGTCCCTTTTTGTCCGTTTCTGTCCCTTTTTGCCCCATTTCCCCAGGTCGGGCTGTTCACCGAGATCGGGCCGATGTCCTGCTTCATCTCCCGCCACGTGAGAGGGCGGGGACACGCGGAAGGGGGCGGGACACCCGGAAAGGGGGCGGGGACAATCCAAAGGGGGAGGGGACGCCCAAAAATGCCGCTGATGGGGGAGGGGACCCCAAAACTCCTCCTGGGGCCCTCCCTGACCCCTCAACTCCCCCCATTTCCACCAAAATGCCTTTGGGGACCCCAAATCTCCCAAACCTGCCCAGGATCCCTTTGGGGACCCCCGGGGACCCCCAGACCCCCCCTGACGCCCCCTTTCCCCCCAGTCCATCCCCTCCGAGATGGAATTCGACCCCAACTCCAACCCCCCCTGCTATAAAACTGTCGATGAGGTGAGGAGGGGTCATTGGGGGGTCCTGGGGCGTTTTGGGGGGATCCTGGGGGGTCCCAGGGGGGCTTGGGGGGGTCCTGAGGGATCCGGGGGGGTCTTGGGGATCCTGGGGGGGTTCTGAGGGTTTGGGGGGGTCCTGGGGGGGTTTCAGGGGGGTCTGGAGGTACTTGGGAGCATCTTGGGGATCCTGGGGGGCTGCGGTGGGGTCCTGGGTGTTCTTGGGAGGGTCTGGGGGGTCCCAGGGGGTCCCCAATGTCCATCTGTCCGTCCGTCTGTCCCCCCCAGGACATTGTGATCCAGCAGGACGATGAGATCCGGCTGAAGATCGTGGGGACCCGCGTGGACAAGAACGACATCGTCAGTGGGGGGGGACCCCAAAAATGGGGGGAAAAAACCCAAAAATTGGGGGGGGAATAAAGTCCAAAATTTAGAGAGGAAAATTCCAAAATGTGGGGAAAAAATCACAAAATTTGGGGGGCGGAAATCCCAAAATCTGGGGGGAAATCCTGAAAATCTAGGAAAAAAATCTCAAATTTTGGGGGGGCAAAAAGCACAAAATTGGGGAAAATTTTGGGATTTGAGGGAGAAATCCTGATATTCTGGGGGAAAATCACAAAATGTGGGGAGGATTCCTGAAATTCTTTTCTCTCCCCCGCAGTTTGCCATTGGCTCCTTGATGGACGATTACCTGGGTGAGTTCTGGGGGGTTCCTGGGGGGATTCTGGGGGTCTCAGAGCGGTTCTGGGGGTCCCAGGGGGGGATTTTGGGGGGTCCTCGGGGGGCTTTTGGGACTGGGGGCACCCCCAGCGGAATTTGGGGGAGGGGGATTTGGATCCCTCCGCCCTCACCCCTTCCCCTTCTGCCCCCAGGCCTCGTCAGCTGAGCCCCAGCAGCAGCCGCGACCCCTCTTCAATTTGTGCCCCCCCAATTTTGGGGGTCTCTCCCCAATTTTGGGGGGTTTTGGTGGCAGGGCCACCCCCAGAGCTGGTGGGGCTCTGTCTTTCCCCTCCATATTCCAAATAAAAGGGTTTTTTCACCCATTTTGCGCCTTTTCTTCTTCTTTTGGGGGGTTTGGAATTTGGGGAGGGGTCTTTACCTAGGAGCGGGCCTCACGGCGCCATCGCCGCTTTAAGGCGGCATCGCCCCTTTAAGCGCACCCCTCGTTTCCACGGCAACCGCGCTTTGCGTGGCCGCGCGCCGCTGTCGCGCTGTCGCCCTGTCCCCCTTCCCCCTTCCGCGCTTTGCGGCCGCGGCCCGGCCTTCTTTCCGCGCTCTCCAAGATGGCGGTGTCCGGGGTGAGTGCGGCCGCCGCCGCCATCCGCCGTCATCCTCCTTTCCCCGCCGCCCCGCCACCTCTCTGCCGCACCGGGAGAGCCGCGGGACACCGGGGATGAGGCCCAGCCGGGTCCGGAGCGGCGGGGATGCTGCGGGGGGCGCCGATGGCCGCGGGAAGGGAGCGGGGGGGGGGGGGGGGGGGGGGGCGGCCCTGAGGGGAGCCGGGCTCGGAGGGGGCGGGGGGGGGTTTGGGGGTGTCCCCTCATGAGGGGAGGGGGCGGTGTCACCCCTGTGGACACTTTGGGGACATTTTGGCGTCTCACTGCCCGATTTCCCCCAAATCCTGCCCGGGGACCCCAAAATCCGGGGGGCTCAGGGCCCTCATTCCCTTGTACCCCCTCATATCGGGACCCTCAGTGTCACCCCACTGTCCCAAATCTTGGGGACACTTTGGTGACATTTTGCAGACACTTTAGCGACACTTTGAGGGACATTTTGGTGACACTTTGGGGACCCTCTGGCTGTCCTGTACCCCAAAACCCGGGGGATTTCACACCCCAATCACTGCGGGTCCAACTTTAAGTCCCCAGTTCAGCATCCCCAGTGCCACAATGTCCAAACCCTGGGGACACTTTGGTGACATTTTGAGGATACTTTAGGGACACTTTAAGGGACATTTTGGGGACAGTTTGGGGGATCTCTGGGCATTCTGTACCCCAAAATCAGGTGCGATTTCAGACCACCAATCACTGTCTGTCCCCAATTCGAGACCCCCTATGCCACCCCAATGTCCCCCATTTTTGGGGACACTTTGGGGACCCTCAAGACATCCGGTACCCCCAAAATCTCACGATTTCAGACCCCAAATCACCGCGGGTCGTACTTTGGGTCCCCAATTCGAGACCCCCTGTGCCACCCCAGTGTCCCAGATTTTTGGGGACTTTTTTGGGACACCCTGGTGACGCTGTGGGTGCCATCCCCAGACCCTGTACACGTACCCCGAGAACTGGCGAGCCTTCAAGGCCCTGATTGCCGCTCAGTACTCGGGCGCTCGGCTCCGCGTGCTCTCCACCCCGCCGCACTTCAGCTTCGGCCACACCAACCGCAGCCCCCAGTTCCTCAAGAAGTTCCCCCTGGGAAAGGTAAAATAACCCAAAAATAACCTAAAAATTGGGTTTGGGGTTTGGGGAGGTTCAGACCCCCCAGTTCCGCAGGAAGTTCCCACTGGGGAAGCTGGGGTCTGACCACAAAAAACACCCTAAAAACCCCAAAAATCAGAATTTGGGAAGTTTGGCATTAACAGAATTTGGGGCTTGGGGATTTTGGGTTTGGGGAGGGAACTTGAGGTTTCTGGGGGATTTGGGGTTTTTGGGGGATTTGATATTTTTGAGGGAATTTGAATGTTTTGGGGTGGGAATTTAAAGTTTTGGGGATTTTTGAGGGGAGAATTTAGGGTTTTTTGGAGGGGTTTGAGGTGGAGATTTGGGTTTTTGGGGAAGATTTGGGATTTTTTAGGTGGGAATTTTAAGTTTTTGGGTAATTTGTGATTTTTGATGGGGCAGTTTAAAGGTTTGGTTTTTTGGGGGTTTATTTTGGGGGTTTTGAGCGTTTCACCCCAAATCTCCCGCGCAGGTCCCGGCCTTCGAAGGCGACGACGGATTCTGCGTCTTCGAGAGCAACGCCATCGCCTACTATGGTGGGTCATTAATTAATTAATTAGCCTCATTGGGCCTTAATTAGTGCAGCTCTGCTCTTAATTGGTCTCCTTCTTCTTGATTAATTAATTCATTAATTGATTAACCCTTTCCTGTGGGCTCAGAATCAATCAGGGATACCTCATAATGATCCCTTTTGCTCATTAATGACTCCTCCTATCCTTGAACGAATCCTTCCCCTAATTAATGCTCCTCTTGGCTAATTAATTATCTTGCTGGTTAATTAATTAACTGTTTCGCCCCCAGTGAGCTCCAACCTCATTGCTTCAATCCCCCTCTTAATGTGTTCTTGACTTTTAACCAGTTTTGCATCTAATTAACGACTCTCCTGGCTAATTAATGACCCCTTTGTCTAATTAGTGATCCCCTTGACTAATTAATGATCCCCCTTGGCCAATTAATTAACCCTTTTTGCTTCTCAGTGAATTCAAGATAAGAGTTGACAACTCTGATCATTCCTTGTTCCTTTACTCTTTAATGTATGTCTCACCCTAATTAATGAGCCCCTGGCTAATTAACGACTCTCGTAGTTAATTAATATCCATGCTGGGTAATTAATTACCCTGTTGGTTAATGAATTAACCCTTTCCCACCCAGTGAGCATGGAGGAGCTGCCGGGCAGCGCCAACTTCATCACTTTATTTTCCGTTAATGATCCCTCTTTGCTCATTAATGATTCCTCCTGACCTTTAACGAGTCCCTCCCCTAATTACGCCCCCCCGGTTAATTAATTAACCCTTTCCGGCGCAGTGAGCACGGAGGAGCTGCGGGGCAGCACCCCTGAGGCCGCAGCCGCTGTCCTGCAGTGGGTGAACTTCGCCGACAGCGACGTCGTCCCCCCGGCCAGCACCTGGGTGTTCCCCACGCTGGGCATCCTGCACTACAACAAACAGGTACCAAGGACTTTGGGGGAATTTTTGGGGTTCTTTGGGAATTTTTTAAGATTTTTTGGGATTTTTTTAGAATTTTTTGGTGTTTTTCTTGATTTTTTGGGGGATTTTTTTTGGAATTTTTGAGGGGTTTTTTGGGTGTTCCCCACGCTGGGCATCCTGCACTACAACAAACAGGTCTGGGGAGATTTGGGGTTTTTAGGGGGAGTCTTGAGGGAGATCTGAGGGGATTTGGGAGGGTCAGGGGTGGTTTTGGGGTTCTCCTCCCAGTTTTGGGGTCCATTCCCCAATTTCAGGTTCCTCATCCCAATTTTGGGGTGTATTCCCCAATTTCGGAGTGACCCATCCCAGTTTTGGGATGCATTCCCCATTTTTGGGGTCCATTCCCTCATTTCCAGGTCTGTTTCCTCCCCAATTCTGGGGTCCCCCATCCCAGTTTTGGGGTGCATTCCCCAATTACAGAGTCCGTTCCCCAATTTTGGGATGCGTTCACCAATTTTGGGGTGCGTTCCTCAATTTCGGGGTCCCCCATCCCAATTTTGGGTTCCATTCACCGATGTTTGGTCCCCCAGGCCACGGAGGTGGCGAAGGAGGAGGTCCGGAAGGTTCTGGGGGTCCTGGACGGGCACCTGAGAACCAGAACGTTCCTGGTGGGGGAGAGGGTGAGCCTGGCCGACATCAGCCTGGTCTGCGCCCTGCTCTGGCTCTACAAACAGGTACCACGGGGATTTGGGGGTATTTTGGTTATTCTGGGGTGTCAGGGAGGTTTTTTCAGAATCCCAGAGGGGTTTAGGGGTGTCCTGGAGATGGTTTTGGGGATCCCAGGTGTATTTATGAGATCCCAGGTGTATTTAGGGTGCAGTTAAGGAGTATTTCAGGTGTATTTAGGATGTCTGTCCCTCCCCAGGTGCTGGACCCGGCATTCCGGGGCCCCTTTGGAACGTCACGCGCTGGTTCCTCACCTGCCTGAACCAGCCCCAGTTCAAGGCCGTGCTGGCGAGGTGCAGCTGTGCCAGAGGATGGCCCAGTTCGACGGTGGGCACACCTGGGGGGATACCTGGGCACACCTGGGGGGTGGGACACACCTGGGCACACCTGGGGGAGATGCAGCGAATTTTTGTGCATTTTTTCCCTTAAAAGCCCCAAATTAATCAGATATTTTTTGTTAACAAAGCCAAGAAGTTTGCGGAGAGCCAGGCGCGCAAGGACAAGGACAAGGAGGCCCCAAGAAGGGGAGAAGGGGGAGAAGGAGCCCCCCAAGAAGGAGAAGCCCCCCCGGAAGGAGGAGAAGCGGCCGCAGCCCGAGGAGGAGCTGACGAGTGCGAGCAGGTCCTGGCAGCCGAGCCCAAGGCAAGGACCCCTTTGCACACCTGCCCAAGAGGTGGGACACACCTGGGACACACCTGAGATGCCTGGGGACACTGAGGAGTCAGGGGTCATCACTCTGAGGGCTCAGGGTCACACTGGGGTCTGTCCCTGACTGTCCCCATGTCCATCTGTCCCCGCAGTCCGTTTGTCCTGGACGAGTTCAAGCGCAAGCACTCCAACGAGGACACGCTGAGCGTGGGGACACTGCAGGGACACTGAGGGGTTTGGGATCACAGTGACAGGTTCAGGGTCACCCTGAGGGTTCATGGTCACTCAGGGTCACTCTGTCTGTCCGCAGTCCGTTTGTCCTGGACTAGTTCAAGCGCAAGTACTCCAACGAGGACACGCTGAGCATGGGGACAGGGGGACACCACGGGGTTTAGGGTCACACCATGGGGTCAGGGTCACTGTGAGGGGTCAGTGGTCACTGTGGGTCACTCAGGGGTCACTCTGTCTGTCCGCAGTCCGTTTGTCCTGGACGAGTTCAAGCGCAAGTACTCCAACGAGGACACGCTGAGCGTGGCCCTGCCCCATTTCTGGGAGCACTTTGACCGCGAGGGTTGGTCCCTGTGGTACTGCCAGTACCGGTACCCCGAGGAGCTGAGCCAGACCTTCATGAGCTGCAACCTCATCACAGGTGGGCCTTCATCACCCTCATCATCATCCTCTTCATCCTCATCTTCTTCCTCATCCCTATCCCTTGTCCTTGTCTGTGTCCTTGTCCTTCCCTACCCTGAGAGCTCCCCCAGACCGTCATGAGCTGCGCCCTCATCACAGGTGCGCCTTCCTCACCTTCATCATCCTATCCTCAGCGTCTTCGTCATTCTCTTCTTCCTTATGTTCATCCCTGTCCTCGTCCTTGTCCTTGTCCTGTCCCACTCTGAGGAACTGAGCCACACCTTCATGAGCTGCAACCTCATTACAGGTTTTCCCCATTTTTTTCCATTTTTTCCCATTTCCCCAATTTTCCCCAATATTTCCTGGTTTTTTCCAATTTTTCCCTCTTTTTTTCCCCTTTTTCCCTTTTTTCCCATTTATTTCCCATTTTCCCCCATTTTTTTCCATTTTTCCCGGTTTTTCCCTTCCCCCCCCCTTTTTTTTTTGCTTTTTTCCCATTTTTCCTGTTTTTCCCTGTTTTTTCCCATTTTTTCCCATTTTTTCCCATTTTTCCCCCGTTTTCCCAGGGATGTTCCAGCGCCTGGACAAGCTGAGGAAGAACGCCTTCGCCTCCGTGGTGCTCTTTGGGAAGGACCACGACAGCAGCATCTCGGGGTCTGGGTCATGAGGGGGCAGGAGCTGGCCTTCACGGTGAGCAAATACCAAAAAATACAAAATTTACCCCAAAAAAATCACTGAGGTGGGTTTACAGGGAGAAAACCCAAAAATCCCCACTGCAATATCCCAAAATAGCCCAAAATCCAAGGTCTGGGTGATGAGGGGGCAGGAGCTGCCTTCACGGTGAGGAAATCCAAAAAATGCAAAATTTACCCCAAAAAATCCATGGGGAGGCGTTTACGGGGAGAAAATCACAAAAATCCCCACTGAAATACCCCAAAATATCCCAAAACCCAAGGTCTGGGTGATGAGGAGGCAGGAGCTGCATTCACGGTGAGGAAATTGCAAAATCCACAAAATTCCCCCAAAAAAATCAGTCTGGTGGGGTTTACAGGGAGAAAACCCCAAAAATCTCCGCTGAAATATCTCAAAAATGCCGATTTCCATGGGGTTTTTGATGGAAATATCCAACTTTTTTGCAGAAAATTTATTTTTTTAACTAATACCCAATTTCATTGGTTTTTTCCCCATTTTTCGCAGCTGTGCCCGGACTGGCAGGTGGATTACGAGTCGTACACCTGGCGCAAGCTGGACCCCGACAGCGCCGAGTGCCGGACGCTGGTGACCGAGTATTTCATGTGGGAGGGCGAGTTCAGGCACGTGGGCAAGCCCTTCAACCAGGGCAAGATCTTCAAATGAAATGGGGCAAATTCCTCGGGTTTTGGGCAAAAAATCCGGGTTCCAGAGCCTTTCAACCAGGGCAAAATCTGCAAATAAAATCCCGTGATTTTGGGCAAAAATCCTGGCATTTGCGGTCAAAAATTCGATTTTTTTTTTGGTCAGAAATTGAAGAGTTTCAGAGCCCTTCAAGCAGGTCAAAATATTTAAATAAAATTTGGGTCGAAATCCTGGGATTTTGGGCAAAAATGCTTGGGTTTCAGAGCCTTTCAACCAGGGCAAGATCTTCAAATGAAATCCCAGAATTCTGGGCTGAAGTCCCAGGTTTTTGGGCTGAAATCCCAGGATTTTGGGGCCCTCTGGGAGTTTTGTTTCTCCATCCAATAAAAAGTTTGGGACAGGACGAGAGTTGGAGTGGTTTGGGGTTTTTTGGGCAATTTGGGGTTTTGGGAGGATTTGGGGAATTTTGGGAGGACTTGGGATTTTTTGAGGGATTTTTTGGGGAGAATTTGGGGGGATTTTGGGGGAGGATTTGGGGATTTTGGGACATTCCAGGGAGTTCCAAAAGGTTCCAGGATATCCCAGGGTATCCAAAATTCTGGATTTTTCCTTTAAATCCCTCAAAAGCTTCGATCAGGACGAGAACCTGGAGCAGTCCCGGGAATTTTGGGGGGTCCTGGGGTGACCCCAGCCCCAAAAAAACCAAACAACAAAAAAACCCCAAAAAATCCCAAATCCCGACAAATTTGGGGCAGAACTTCTGGAATTTTCTGGGAATGCCCCCCAGAATCCCCTCCCCCACATCTGGGGGGGCGCTCCCAGTATAAACCAGTAAAAAACCAGTAACCGCCTGCAAACCAGTACAAACCAGTACAAACCAGTAACCCCTCCCCCATTTCCTTCCTGGGCTTCCCCTCCCCCACCCTGGACAGCACCAGATGTGGCCCCGCCCACCCCCCCCAGCGGCCACATCTGGATCCAGTTCGGTCCCAGTCCCTCCCAGTTTGTTCCCAGTCCCTCCCAGTTCGGTCCCAGTTTGTTCCCAGTTTGTTCCCAGTTCGGTCCCAGTTTGTTCCCAGTTTTTTCCCAGTTTGTTCCCAGTCCCTCCCAGTTCCGTCCCAGTTTGTTCCCAGTTGTTCCCAGTTTGATCCCAGTTTGTTCCCAGTTTGTTCCAGTTCGGTCCCAGTTTGTTCCCAGTTTGTTCCCAGTTCCGTCCCAGTTCCGTCCCAGTTTGTTCCCAGTTTGTTCCCAGTTTGTTCCCAGTTCGGTCCCAGTTTGTTCCCAGTTTTTTCCCAGTTTGTTCCCAGTCCCTCCCAGTTCCGTCCCAGTTTGTTCCCAGTTTGATCCCAGTTTGTTCCCAGTTTGTTCCCAGTTCGGTCCCAGTTTGTTCCAGTTTGTTCCCAGTTTGTTCTCAGTTCCGTCCCAGTTCGGTCCAGTTTGTTCCCAGTTTGTTCCCAGTTTGTTCCAGTTCCGTCCCAGTTCGGTCCAGTTTGTTCCAGTTTGTTCCCAGTTCCGTCCCAGTTTGTTCCCAGTTTGTTCCCAGTCCCTCCCAGTTCCGTCCCAGTTTGTTCCCAGTTTGTTCCCAG